GACTATTCTACTTAAGGCTTTGACCCTGAGAGAGGGTACCAGACGGAGGCAATCGATAGAGCCTCAGGACAATGTTCTCCCTACATCATGAGGTCTAGGACTTGTGACAGTAGATAGTACACATGATACCTAGTCTTGTTTGGAACTGTCGAGAGTTGGGCAACCTCGAAACATAGTCTCACATCGCTGAACTCATCAATAAGCACCAACTATGCCTAGTTGGGCTTATTGAACTAATGATTCTATCAGATCATATCTATCCATTGCTTAGACACTTAGGTATGGATCACTTCCACTCTAACCCTACAAATCACATCCGCTTGTTTTGTAAACACCTTACTCTCTACGATTGCTCATTGAGGGGCCACAATATGTCACGATGTGGGTACTTGACTCTAGCCAAGAGTTTACATTCTTTGTTGTTTATGCTTCACATAGACATCAAAACCGTGAGACTCTTTAGGAAGACAGTACGATATATGCAGAATTATCCCATACTATTGATTCTCTTTGGTTCATAGCTGGAGATTTCAACTGCGTATGTAGAGTCACTAAACGTCAAGAGGGATGGGTCCCTCGAGCCTGTCATATGGAGATGTTCAATGATTTTATTTTTCGCACGGCCCTCATCGAGCCTCCTACTTTTGGCAAGGTCTGGACGTGGTGCAACGAGAGATAAATAGGTGCAAAGATATATGAGCGCATCGATCGTTGCTTCACTAATAACACTGCATTAGTGCAATGTCCCATATTAGTCATGCTCTTACCCTGTTATAGGTCAGATCACATGTCAATTCTTATTCTTCCTGACTCGAGAGCTAGTACCCCTAGACCCCCTTTTAGGTTTCAAAATATGTGGACTTGGCACGAAGGCTTCCAGAGCTTTGTGCATAGTCATTGGCATGGAGATATGTCTGACTCTCCTATGGAGAACCTCAATTACAAATTGAGAAATCTCAAACTCTACCTTAAATGGTGGAACTGGCATGTATACAGAAACATACACACCCAAGTAGAAGAGTTGAAGAGGGAGCTAGTAGAGGTCGAGAGGCAACTGCAAATTCAATGGAGTGACACTACTTGAGAGAGACGAGTTCGAGTGAACGAGTAACTAACGGAGGCCGCGCGACGACAAAAAATATACTATCTCCAAAAATCACGCATCTAATGGTTATGTGAGGGTGATAGAAACACACGTTTCTTTCATGTCTTGATCACACATCAATCTTGATCTGATTATACATCTCTTCTAGAGGTGTATGATCATGACACATCCCGTATGTAAGAGGTAGAAATTGCGTACTTTTATATCCTCCTTTCCTCTCAGCCGATTGAAATCTCTGAGGATAACCTCTCATCGATTCCATCTTTAGTCACCCACCAGGAGATAGAAGACATCATGACCATACCTACTAGAGAAGTGATCCGAGATGTAGTCTTCTTGATGAGTAAGAACCAAGCACCTAGACCCGATGATTTTTCAGCTGATTTTTATACATCATGTTGGGACATCATTGGAATAGATATAGTACATGCCGTCAAAGAAGAATTCCTTGACGACATATCAAGGAAAGCCACCTTTATTGCCCTCATCCCAAAAGTGACCAACCCAACTTCTTTTAGAGACTTTTGGCCTATCAGTCTTTGTAATATATGTTATAAGGTTGTATCTAAGATCATTATAGCATGACTGAGGGCTTTTCTTAATGGGCTCATATCTCCAGAGCAATGCGGATTTGTCAAGGGACGTCAGATTCACAATAACATCATGTTAGTTCATGAACTAACACAGTCCCTTGATCAAGACATTCGTGGTTCCAACATTATCATTAAACTAGACATGAAAAAGGCTTTTAATATAATTGAGTGAAAATTCCTCACTGAAGTACTTCAACGCTTCGGATTCACCGATGAGTTCATCGACTTAGTTGATGCATGCGTCAAGGAGAATCACTTCTCTCTACTAATGAATGGCACTTCCACCCCTTTCTTCATTGCCACACGAGGCTTACGACAGGATGATTAATTATCACCCACTCTCTTCATATTAGTTGAAGAAGTCCTTAGTAGAATCCTCTCTCAAGTGGTATCATGTGGACTTATTCAACTATATCATTCGAAGTAAGGTTGCCCAATCATATCACATTTCTTGTTTGTTGATGACACTATACTCTTCCTTAATGAATATGAGGCATCTATTAAGGGACTCATGACTATTATCTCAAGCTATGAGTAGGCCACAGGTCAACTCGTTAATGTCTCGAACAGTTTTATGATGACATCTTTTACCACCATTAGCACCATATGACGTATACAACATATAACAGGATTCTCACGTGGACATTTACCTTTTGATTATCTTGGATGTCCTATCTTCCTTGGATGCACTCGGATTCATTATTTTGATACCCTTCTATACAAGCTGAGGAAAAAACTTGCTGGATGGAAACTTCAGCTTCTATCCTCAGAAGGTGACATCCAATTGATATGTCATGTGCTCATGAGTATGTCATTACATCTACTAGCAATATATGAGGTACCGGATACTATCCTACGATCTGTGAGGCAAATATGTACCTCTTTTTTGTGGGATGACCAGCTCGACGGGCCTCATCGCCAATGACGAATTTCTTGAGAGAAAGTATGCCAACCGACAAAAGAGGGTGGACTAGAGATTAGATGTCCTGAAGACATACTCGACATGCTTTAGAAGAAACTCATATGGCAGATAAGGACGATGAGATCAATCTTAGGGATTTTTGTATCTGCCAAATATGACAAGTAGGCTAATCAATAGGCAGATATAAAAGGAGGAAAGCGGTGGGCAGATTAGTAGAGACATTAGCTTCAGATGAAGCCTTTAATCTAGTGGCGCGTGGGACAAAGCACTATCAGTGCTTGATACGACACTTGGCTTGTGGATATCCCTTTGGCCTCCTTTACCTCCTTCACGTTATCTTGGCCCTGACTCATGGTCGCCCAACTTTTCGATGGGGATACTAAACTGCTCATCGAGCGGCATAGACTTCTCCTAGATTTATTACTAGAGATCTCATTGATAGAGCTGAGTCCTAGGGATGATGAGGCCATTTAGACTCTCACCCTTGATGATAGTTTCTCTTGTAGTTCTTCTTGAAACTATTTTAGAAACCATTCCCTAAAATAGGTTTGGGGAAATCATAATTGGCATCATACTATCATCCCTCAAGTCTCTTTCTTCATGTGGAAACTAATACACCGAGGACTCCCTACTGATGACCGTATGGTCATCACTGGACACCACATATGTTCTAGGTGTCATTGTTGTCACACCACTCTAAGAAACAAAACTATGGATCACTTATTTTTCCATAATGTCGTTGCTACGGAATGTTGGAACCAACTCTTAAGGAATTGGTCACCTATATTTTATCATCCTCTATCTCTCACACCCTTAGAGATCTTTAGGAGAGTCTTTGATTCACCGCAGAGCTTTAAGAGTAGCCCATACCTACTATTTCCATAGCGTACATGTTATGGGAGATATGGAAGGGATGAAATCTTTTTCGTTTTGTAAGACAGCCGATGCATGCCCTAGAGATTATGAGGCACGTCACACAATGACTACGGAGTGCCCATCCTCTAATGTCGCCTGTCGTGACACGCTCGGCCTCTATCTATGAGGCACTCAAAACTTGAGGAATTCTAGCCTTACAAACTTGTACACATATCACTATGCGAACCGTCTATTAGAGACCACCACCGATAGAACACTTGAAGTTCAATGTGGACGAGGCAGCACGTGGGAACCTTGGACCTGTAGGGGGAGGAGGCATCTTACAAGACCATACAAGAAGTATTATCTTTGCCTTTTCCCACTATTACAACATTCAAATTAACACAACCGCAGAGGCTATGATGATCCACGATGGTTTGCTCCTCTTTGAGGAACGCAACCTTCATAGTATCGTCCTAGAATCCGACTCCAGAGTGTTAGTTGAAATGTTGCGTGCAAGCACTTACTCTCATTGACGACTCAGGAGCACCTAGATGAATATCATGTGTTGTCGTGAGAGGATCAGTACCATCACACATCAGCTACGCGAGGGGAATTAGACTGCAGACGTGCTTGCTACACATGTAGTATTGATGCAGGACGCGGCGAGAACCCCCTGTACCTGATCAATGAAACTCAAATCTCGGGATGGGGCAGTTGGACCGATCTGATAAGAATGTTTGGACCCTAGACTCTAGGTATGACCACGTAACCTAAGCACAGGCAAGCGTACCAATATGCGTGATCAACCCAGGACAACCTGGGGAAACACTCGACGATGGTAAGTGAGAGGCCCTCTCGGTCCACGTCCGGACAGATGGCAGAACAATCGTCGTGAGGTAGCCTAAGGCTGCAGCTCACTAATGGTGGCGAATCTGGCGCAACATCGGAAGTCACGATCCAATAACCGTCCTATCATGTCTACGTTCTCCTGATGGCGGAGGAGACGAGCCAAGAAAACCCTTCGAGAGATAATTAAACTTAAGAGGAAGGGGTACGGAGCTAACCTTCGGGGCTGGGTAGCTCGGCGGGTCGTGACGGAGCGGAGATTTGACGAAGGCAGAGACGTCCGGTGAAGAGCGATGCTCAGCGTCGACGGTCGGTCCTGGTCGAGAGTCACGGAAGTCGTCGTCTTAGGGCGTGGCACAGTCGGCGTGGGCGTGGGCCACAAGAGCCGGCGCGCAGGGCGCGTGCGGTGGCAGCGCTTCGGCGGAAAGGCCGAGCGTCTGCGGTGCTTCGACAGGAATGCCAAGCGTCAGCGGTGCTTCGGCAGGAATGCCGAACGTCAGCGGCGCTTCGGCGGGAATGCCAAGCGTCAGCGGTTGGGCAGAGACCCAACTGTCGCCGGAAAGGTCGGCCTTCTCTGGCGGCGCCGGGAAGCGGAGCAGAGGAAGGAGACGATCTGGCTGGCGATACTAGGGAGGGTGGAGCCCTCCTGGTCTAGGCGGCACCGGAAACGGCGCAA